ATAGATAATACTGATACGCATTACTATAGATAATACTGATACACATTACAATAGATAATACTGATACTCATTACTACAGTAAATAAAGATACGTTACTATAGATAATACTGATACCACAGGAAATACTGATACTACAGTAAATAAAGATACCTGTTACAACAGATAATACTGATACTTATTACTACAGTAAATACTGATACACATTAATACAGTAAATACAAATACATTACTACAGAGAATACAGATACATTACTATCGATAATACTTAAGCACATGATACTCATTACTACAATAAATAATTTACTGTGAAATCACTATTCAAACATAACTAGCTAAATTCAGCTGTTGCTGCCTTAAAATAGAACTTTTATTCATGTGTTATTCGGTGTGAATCTTGAAGCACCTTCAGCACTCGAGGCTACAGGACCGATGTGTCTGCTCAGACTGAATTCACCAGGGTACCTACAAATATCAGATTGCATTACAGATTTTAGTTGAAAGAAATAATAGAATAGAATCTGCCCGGTCTAGAATAGATGATGATGATAATCATTTTGTGAGTTTTTTTTTTCAGTCAATCATGAATGCACTAAAATTGTCAACCTTTATCCATATGCTCTGAAGCTGTAACCATTGCCTTGCTAACGCATTCGAGGACTGCATCATTTGGCCTGTTCAATAAAAGACAATCCACTTATCAGAGAGTTAAATATTAATGTTATTTGGACATGCATTTGCTGCCAGAGGAGGATGGGCTCCTGAACATCTTACAGAGGGTTTTCTGACATTAAAACATTTTCCTGTGAAGCTGTTCACTGAAACACTGAGATATACATTTCTGTAAATCATGGAAAAAATAAACATGACTAATAAAATTTATCGACAAAAGATTTTATTTACTATGACTTCAGCATGTTATATAAAACATTTTCAGCAAATAAATGAATGATGTGCCAGGCAATATTCATGAGAAAACTTTCCTTGACCAGGTGAAACTCTTCATGGAAATTAAAACTGAATATTAAATGAAATAAATTGTTCTTCATAAAGTAGTGGATCAAACTGTTAAAAACACAACGGCAGTAAGTCACGTCTTCCAGAAGTTTGGATTCTGCATCATTCGCCTCTGAAAGTTTTCATACCTGTGAGGAGGACAGAACAATGACTCTAAACACAAACACTCATTCGCTGGCATGACGCTTCGACTTAAAACATCGCTCACCATTTGAGGATGGAGCTCGCAGGAACAAACATCTCCGAAGGGTTCGGTGTCATCTGCGACTGGGACAGCGCAAAAGACGAGGTGAAGTTGTACAGGCTCTCCAGCATCTTCTGCGTGAACTGTGAAATATACAACAAAGAGTTAATAAGCAGCCGCAGGAGAGTTCCTGATCTCACAGTGATATTAACAGGACTCTGTGAGCCGGTCACTGCAGTCTTGATCTGACCCTTCAAACCACACGTGACCACACAGAAGTGTGAAAGAAATTGGAAAAGCGCAAATAAAAGAACGCCTTTAGTACGACTGATATCAACAAGCAGTGCCACAATCTGCCAGGTCTGTATTTTAGCTTATATTTAATCAGTGGTCAAGACTGGAACTATCCATTTTATAAATGTCACTGTTATAATGTTATAATATTACTTCATGCCTTAAATTGTCTTTCAAATATAAACATACATTTAGATCATTTTTATCCACAAAAACTTTGCATTTATTAGGGTGTGATATGTAATCTAAAAATCGTTCACTACTACGAACAGAAGATCCACTCTGAAAAGACTGAAGACCCAAAAGATAAGTAAGGTGGCTGATAAGTTATGATGAGGTATGTGTTACCTGTGTGAAGGAGTCCACTGTGGAGACAGCTGAAGTAGAGACTGGTGTTTGTTGTGCAAGCAGGTCCAAAGATTCAATAGAAACTCCAACCTGAGCCACTGACGGAGCCTGAGGGACGGCCATCATGCCAAA